TGGTACATAAACTCAGGCAATACAGTTTATTCTGTATAATTCATATGTTATGAAAAGTGACACAATATTAAGTTTCTGTCAGTTGAACTTTTAAATGCACATAGTTAACATATAATTACTATGCCACATCCAGTGAACTTCTATATATCCTGGAGCAAAATAATAAGAAATACAGACTTGATTTCTATTTTCTAAGGGTTTAAGTATAGAAGCAGATATAGGGTATGTACTTATAAAACATTTACATAATAATTTCAGATGGTTTATGCTCTTTAATTATCATGTGTGGTACTGTGCCTGGTATATGGTAGGTTCTCAAACATTATTAAATGTATGAATGAATATATGGGTGGGTGATACAGGCTGCAAATGCTGTAAGGTCACCATGGGCTGGTGCATTAAAAGAAAATCTTAAACTGGATCTTGAGAAAGACAAGTCTGAATAGGTGAAGGATAGGCTTAAAAATGAACTTGGTAAACTCAAGGGTTAATGAGCAATTTGGCTTAGGTAGAATAGTGACTTAAACTGGGTAAGAGAAAACCAGAAAGTCTGGATAATGCCAGATTGTTAGTAAACTCCTCTGTTAGACAGAAGTTTAAGGGGAGGGACTACGTTTTTCATATTCCTTGCACTGGATCTGGCACAATGATGGGCTTACTAAGTATTTGTTGACTGTTTGACAGACTGGCAGACTGACTAGTGGAACATTTCAAAAGATAGCTCCAAGAACTTTCTCTTCAGAAAATGATAAAAATTTCTATTTTAGAAAAATTCAGCTATAATTGGAGTATAGATTGTCAAATGTAATGGAGGAGGACCAGATGTGATTAGAAGGCTCTTGCAGATGACAGGAGACTGAGAGGGAAGTGGGCAAGTGAGTCTGGCTGGGAATGGAAAGGAATGATGCTCTTAAGAGTAACTGTGAAGAAAGAAAAGCTGGGAGTTGGGTTTCCCTTCTTTGACTCTATCTCAGGGTCCCTAGAAGCAGACCCAAGATGGGGATTTTTATGCAAGAGACTTAGTGAGGGAGTACTGTCAGGTGAAAGCTATAAAAGAGGAAAGGAAGCAGCATAGAATGGGGAAGAAGCTTGGCCCAGACTTCAGCTGAAGTCTAGCCCCAGTCTGGAGTGGGAATTGCCCCTCCTGGTAGCAGGGATTGGCCATTGTTTCCCCTAGTCAGTCAGTCCTTGGGTATGGGCTGTACTCCGAGGTAGGGGGGGAAAGATCAACACCTTACAGACCTTTTGTGGCTAGGTGGCTACTTCCTTTCAGCCAAGGGCAGTTCACAGGAGAAGGGTGCAGCTGTGAGGTTAGTGGCCAAGACTCACAGCAGCTTGAATTTGGGTGCACTAGCCTGGTAAAAAGAATCTCAGTGGAGGGGCATCACCAGTGTCATCTATACTGTGCTATATAGTCTGTTCTTCACACGGTGCCCGACTGAGAACCTTCCAATAGCATCCCATCACATCCAGAATAAAATACAAACCCTTTAGCCTGGCCCACACCATATGGCCTCTTTCTACCTGTTTGGCTTTATCCATATACATTCTCTCTCTAATCCGAATTTATTTTCGTTTACTCAAACATGCCAAGATTCTTACCTCAGAGACTTGTGCTTGATTTTCACTCTGCCTGGGATGCTCTTCCTCCTAGATTTTCATGACTAATATCTCATCATGCAGACTTACCTACTCAAATGTCTCCTCTTCAGAGAAGTCTTCCACTGTCTGCCTCCCCCAAAGACTGTGATCTGTACAAGCTATTCTGTCTTGTTCACAGCTGTCACCCTGCATTGATGGGTGGACACCCAGTAAATATCACTGAATGTATAAGTTGGCTGGAGAGAAATGAAGAGGAGACATGGGTTGAAGATCTCCCTGAGATAGTGGATAACTGTGTAAGAAGTGGAAACTTGATGAAAATAAGAAATAATGAGCGTGCATCAACTTGTGTGGAAAGATGAGAAATTTTGTTTTATATGTATTGAATTTGAGATAATGGCAGAGACAAAACAGTATAGTGATTAGGAGCACAGTGTCTAGACCTAAATTTGTATCCCAGCATACTCACTCAGTAGCTGCAAGATCTTGGGCAATTTATTTAACTTCTCTGTGCCTCAGTTTCCTCACCTGTAAATGAGGATAATATTTTCTACCTCATCAATTTGCTGAAAGGACATGAGTTAATAACTATAAATCATATAAAACAGGGTCTAGCTAATAGTAGACATTATTTTAATGGAGTTTAAGGAGTTCTGCATGTAGAAGAGATAGTCAAAGCCAGGGCTATGACTGGAGTGAGAGGAGTAAACCACCTATGGGACAAAACTTAGGGAGGCACTCCTTGATGGTTGTGCACATGCACCATCCTGAGCGTGCTTCCTTAAATTTTGCATTCTTGGCCCTTCACTTTGCCTCACCCTAATCCTGGCCCTGGTCTAAGTAATCAAACCGGAAAACCCTTTATTTGGTAAGGTTTTCTAAATCTGGTTACTGTAACATTTCTTACCTCTGTCTGGCCTTGGTGAGAGTGCTTTCTTGCCGTTACTAAGCTCTGGGCTGCCTCACTGACCTTTGGTTTCTTCTTGGTCTTTTCCATCACTTGCATGACCAATTCCCTGTAGTTAGTCCCCTCTGTACAAAGTCACTCCCTCTGAGAGGATTCTGTTTTCCTGGTTGGACCCTGACTGATGTAACAATTACTATACTCTAATGCTCCATAATAAGCATAGGATTTCTGGGATGTCGGGGAAAAAGCCAGTATTTATGGGTAACTTCACTACGGTAAGAACTTGAACATATAAAATATTTAATTCTCATCAGATGGTGTAGTGGTGCCCAATGTACACTTTGTAGATGAAAAACCAAAGATGCAGAGAGGTGTAACTCACCGAGGGACACCAAGTAATAGAGCTGAGATTCAAATCTAGTTTGAAGGTTTATACCCTTTCCACTATGCAGAACATCTGGGTGGGGGCTGGGTGACAAGTTCAGATTGTGGGTAAACTGTTAAACTACAATAATTTATTAATTTTTTTCCCAGTGAGAGACTTTTTAAAAAAAGATACTAACCATTAGTCTTGTGCCTCTTCTTCCTCTATTTATTGTGGTAGAATTCATTTAACAAGAAGTTAATCATTTTAAAGTGAGAAATTCAGTGGCATTAAGTACCTTCACAATGTTGTGCAAACACTATCTTATCTAGTTCCAAAACATTTCCATCATACTGTAGTAAACCCTCGTACCTACTGAATTTCTCCTCATTCCTCCCATTCCTCCAAGCTCCTGGCAGTCATTAGTCTGCATTCTGTTTTTATGGATTTAACCTACTCTGGACATTTCTTATAAATGGGATTATACAATATGTTGCCTTTTATGTCCAGCTTCTTTCACTTAGCATAATGTTTTGAGGCCCATTCACATTATAGCATGTGTCAGTAATTCATTCCTTTTATTGCCAAATCATATTCCATTGTATGTATACAGCACAATTTGTTTATCCATGTATCCATTGGTGGACATTTGGTTTCTACCTTTTGGTAGAATAGTGAATAGTGCTGCTATGTACATGCATGTACATGTGTTTATTTAACTACCTGTTTTCTGTTCTTTTGGCCATATGCAAAATCATTAATGTTTAGCTTATTTTTCTAATTCCTATCTATTTCAGATTACAAAATGAAAAAATATTTCTAATTTCTAAAACTAATTTCTGTAAAAATATTTTTTCTGTTCTTGAAGGCTTAATGATAGCCATAAGTCTTTTAGTTTTAATTTATTCAGTAAGTTTTGCTCATATTTCTGCCCATTGTATAGGTGTGTGTGTGTGTGTGTGTGTGTGTGTGCATGTAAGAGAGAAGAAAGAGAGATCAAGACAGGTAGACAGGTGTTTTGTTTTTTGAAAAATACTTGATGTAGCCATTCTGGGACTTGAAGGTTATTTACAACCACTGGCTTGTGCTTCATATCAATAGTAAAAAATTTAATGTGAAGTGCCATTTCTATGTCAAAGAGCCATGCTTCTTTAAGTAAGTGCTATTAGAGAAGGGTTATTTGAAAATTTGGACAAACAAATGCAGTTATTTTCAGTTAAATGCAAATAAAATTTTATTTTTCTCATTAGGACAAATAAAAAGCAGATGAGGGAGGTATCATTGCATTTTTGTCATTTATGTAAAAATTAAAAACAAATTGAATGCACAATAAAATAAACAACCCAGGTATAAATTATTTATGAAATGAAACATTTTGAGAGAGATGTTAACAGCAACTTAATATGCAGTAAACTACAGTTTTGTTCTTACCCTTAAGTTTTCAAAGTCAGATGTAGTAATTTAGTGGCACTCCCACTAATATTAGCAGGAGTTTTGAAACTTAAATTCCTGCACACATCTTTGAAAATGTATAGGTCAAGATAAACTGCTAATGCAAATCTGGTTTCCATTTTTAGTGAAATAGTTTGAATCTCTCCCCAAAAATGTCCTAGAAGACACTTTCATTCTAGTCACAAAAGAATTATGTATAAAGTTACTATTTGGAGGTCATCATCTCCAAAGAAACATGTATAATCAATCATTTCAAAGAGAAAATGTGTTCCTTGACCCTAAAGAACACAAAAGTTCAGGACCCATGTTGTTTTATAGTAAGCAAAGGACCTTGGACCTTTTCAATGGACCCTTTCAAACCAGTGCATCTGATCAGTGACAGAGGCTTGCTAAGGTGAATTTTAATTAGGACTAAATTGTGGTATTACTCTTTCATACCCTGAACATCTGTTCCCTTCAGAAATGATGATTTATGCAGGCTATCAGAGCAGACAGCTTGCTACAGCTTATGTCACGGTTAGTGGGAAGCTGGTGGTAGCATTTCAGAAAACCAGCATCTAAATGGAGACTGGCCAGTGTATATGATATGGGTAATAGGGGGAGGGGAAGTAGAATAGGTCCGTTTCTAATTTTGAAGCCAAATATTTACTTGACTTAAAACAAATTCTCTTCTAGACCATCTGTTGTTAATGAAAAAAGTAACTTGGACAATGAATGGGCTGATGCTACCTACTGATGTCAAAAGACAGAAAACTAAATCTGTTCTTTCCAAGAGAATGAAGAAACTTACTGAGAAGACCACAGTCCGAATCCTGTTCTTTAAGAATGGCATGGGGCAAGATGGGCATGAGATTACAGTGGGAATGGAAACAATAAAAGAGGTAATTTTGTATTAGATATTGAAGTACAAATTAAATTTCAAGGTTTTCATAGCTTTTGAGATTGTGTTGTTTTTTCCTTCTAAATAACAATGTCAACTAATAAACTAAATGTTAAGAAGGCATTATGTAGAACACAAAAATTCAGCTTTTTACAAGTACGCTTATTATACTAACAACATACATTATCTCAGGAAAGCAACAATATTTCAGGAAATTATTTGACTAACATAGTTGGCCATTTACTTAGTTAAATGTTATGTTTACACTTGTGGGAACATTCTAGTTGTTTACAATATTTTGTAACATAATTAGGTTGAAGCTTGTCTAACCTAGCTTCACATCTCAATCTCTGCCCCTTTTCATTTAAAATAACAAGAAGAACTAGAAGCACCCCTGCTCTTTAAAAGAACAAGTCTGAAATAACCAAGATTCAGTTAAAAAATATCTATATACATTCTTAAAAGCAAATCTGCATGGGCCTAAGAAAAGTCATGCAACAATCAAGCAAACTTTAAAAAACAACTTTTGAAAACTATTACTTGTCGCATAAATGCTGGTTTTTTAGAAGGTACTTAACTTTCCAAATCATCTTTGATCTTAAAAAAATATAGAAAAACGAATAGGAATTTGAAACAAAATAAACTTCTTTTTACAGATAAGGATTTTCAACCAATCTTAAAGAAGCCTGATAATAATAATAACTAAAGGTTATAAATATGTATTAAAGAGACAGTAAAATATAACCAGCAGGTCTAGGTTTTAATCTTGGCTACATCATCCATTATCTGTGAACTATCAGACAATTTACCTTTTCTGGGCCTCAATTTCTTCATCTAAAAAATAGGGATAACAATAGTGCCCATCTTGTAGAAATGAGGATTTGATATGGTATTTAGCATGGAGTACAATGGCTGGCACCCGGAAAGTTCCCAATAAATACTTGCTATTTTTTAGGACTCAGAAACACACATTTAATAACATTATTTTTAAAATTATTATTAAAATTAAAAATTATTTTTCTTACCAATGGGAGACATTTATTATGAAAGCAAAATAGGTATAAATCATTTTGTTATACCAGACTAGCTTCAAAGTGAATATTGCTTGAAATAGATGAGTAGTTGACCAGATATTGGAAAGATTTGTTATCAAAATATCTGTTTCTTTATCCACTTATTCTTGGAGTTGTTTTGTTTTATAGCCACAACTGGGTAAGAGCATTTCTTGAGGAGCTGGGAAACTGGGTTTTATTTCCTTCTTATATGCAGGTTTGGATTATGAGTAAAACAAGTGATCTCACACACCAGAACAAATTGCTAAGGCAAGTTGTAACATCTTCCCTGGAGATTTTGAAAAACTAGAGAAGATGGACATATCTTTTGGATTGTTAAAATGCAGTCATTCTTGGATACAGAAACTAGATTAGATAACCTCTTGAGTTCACTTCAGTTCAATCTCTGTAATTCTATGCCTTGGTGGTAAAATTGGGGTAATAGTCACTCTTACAGATTGCATGTTCTTAGATGAAATGTTGAGTATAAATAAAAATGTCACAGCTATTTTGCTTTTTGACTCTAGAGAGCAATTTATTTAAAACTGGATGATGAAGGATTTCTTTTGCTGCTTTTTTTTTCTTCTTACAATTTGTAGAAATTAAAGAGTTTTCACAATTTATAAAACTCAGGAAATGATTCAGTAATAAGTATATTTGTAAATTTTTTAAATTATCACTTTTAAGAATGAGGGAAAATATAGGAGGCAACAGTGTTAGCTGAGGTATCAGTAGAACTTTTTGGAGGGAAGAAAGTAAGGCTCGCTGATTATTTTGTAAATAAAATTTAATTTTAAAAGCTCTGTTGCTAATCACAGGATAATGCTGGATTTATAGATTAAATACCAAATCAGTAATAGGAATAAAAAAATGGCATAGTTGTAGGGGAAATACCAATTATTTTCTCTTTCATGCTAAGATATTAGGAATGTTAGGGATTAATTTTTTTTAGATTATTACTAAGTAATATAAAATTAAAATAAAATATAAAGAATTCTAATATATTGAAGGCTACTGCAGTAGGATAGGGGAGAATTATTGAAAAAGGTAGTAAAATAAGGTAGTTAGGCTTACAAACCCTCTCTGAGATCAAAATGGAAAGAACTGTATTTTCATCATAAGTGCAAAATCAAAAAGGAATTTATTTATTTTAGAAGGTTAAGTAATCAAGCATGTTAAAATGAGGGCCAAAGTGATATATTTCTTAATTAGACTTGGATATACTAGAACTATGGCCCATGTCTTTGAAAGTTGAATCAGGTGGCTTTAGAATTATTTGGTATGGTTTTAGTAAGCACATAACACCTGCCACTATGAAGTATAGGCTAAACATATATCTATGGATTGAAAAGGTATTAAGAAAAATTTGTGAGCATAAGATACAAAGTTAGTAGAAAATGAAAAATATCTGCTCCAGATACATAACGTTTTAAGGTTAGCATTGTGGTGGATATGTTTTTTTTCCCCCTCGATTATTGCTTGGATTCATTTTTAGAGAAGTAAGTATTAAGCTGTGACGGTTTACTACATTATACAGGATACATCTCCTTTTAGAGAAATCTTAAGTTTTTTCTCAGCACTTAATAATTACACTTATTTATTTCTTTGTTTGTTTTGCTTGGTTTTCTATGTACTGTCACTAATGGCAAGAGATTATTATGGTGAAGAAAAAGATGAAAAGATAATGAGTGAAACAAGAAAATTCCCTGTCCCCTGAGTTCAGTATGAACTGATTTTTCTCTACGATCTCTATCTGAGCTTGGGGGTTGTGCTTTCCTCTCCCTTCTGTTGGATCCTTCTCTCCAGGTTCCTTCTTTTTCCCATATCTTCATTTACTCTATTGTGCACATATTCAATGGCTTCCTGAGAAAGAAAACAAGGGAGATTGAATTTTTTGAGATCTTGGGAAATCATTCTTTTCTCCAAATATTAACCATATTGACTACTCATCCTTTGTGGGTAACTTTGCACTTTTAATTTTCCCACTCTGAAAACATATAGAATCATCTCTTCATTTCCAGTGTTCTAAAGTTTTTCCAAGATGTGCTAGATACTCAGTGTGTCTTTTCATTCTGAAAAGTCTCATCCTTCTCTTCTGAGAAATTTTATTGAATTATTTCTTTGATAATTTATTTCTTCCCTGTTTTTTCTGTTCTGATTTTATGGTACTGCTACATTATATGCTGGGTCTTCTGAATTGAACTTCTAATTTTCTTACCTTCCAACCTAATGAGGGTTTTCTGTTGTTGTTTATTTCTGCTACCTCCACTATCTCTGTTCTCTAAGTGTTTGTTTGTTATGTTTGTTTTCAGCCATTCATGTTTCAGGCTTTTCCTGAAGATGAACTAATCTTCCATCAGTATTTAAAAGTGAAGAGCTAAAAGCTGATTGAAAAGCCCTTGAGCACAGGTGCACTGTATTGATGGATGCATTGCATTGGAGAGCATTTTGACTAGGCTTTTTCTTTGGTTGGGGGTAAGTCCCTAGTTTTCCGTGTTTGTATGTCCTTACTTTGGGATGATCAGCTTCGCCAGATAGAATCTGCCAGTTCGAGCAGTCTAGTAACCAAGTGGAGAAGGAGGCTGAGAGTTGCACTTTCAGTATGTAGATTTTTAGTTATTCCCCTCTTTTCAGCAAGCTACCCTCACTCTCAATTCTGCTGGTGCCTTTTATTCCAGAGTTTCTCTGGTGTAGTCTCTTCAGAGAACAAATCTCCTGTCTTCTCTGCTGATGCCAGAAGTATAATTATCTGAGTGCTTGGTGTTGGGGAAGCATTCTGGGAGTTTAACTGCTTTTTATAGAAATAGTCAAACTTTTTTACCCACTTTGTAGAGGTAACTGATGGCTCAAATTTTTGAGCCTTTCTGGGGTTGTTCAATACAAAGGAAGTTTACTTCTGCTAGCTTAAGTTTTGGCATTTCTCTGCTAAGCCATTTACCACTTAATTATCTTCCCTGTAGTTTCCAGAATTTTTGTTAGTGGTGTCTCCTTTCTGATTCTCTCTTTTCCTTTTTTTAAATGCTGACCACCGATTTTTTATTTTGCATTGTTAAAGCTTATTTTTTAAGATAAAAGGTAATTCTGATATCCTCTTTGTACCCCAGTGGATATCTGCTTTGCCCTGTCTATTGGTGTTGATACACCCCATTTTAGAAAATGTAGTTTCAAGCTACCTGAATGAGAAAATACTTCCTTCTGTCACTTGGAGACATCATATACTTACTGCAGGCAAAAAGGGCCTTCAGTATTTTCTCAAAGTATGGTCCATGGAACACCTGCATCAAAATCATCTGTACTATGTGTTAAAAATTTAGACCTCTGGCCCCAATCCAATCCTGATGAATTAATAATCTCTTGAGTCTGAGGCCTGGGTATATGCATTTCAATAAATGTCTTCGGATGATTCCTAGCCCCACTAAAGTGTGAGAACTCATGTTCTGGTGTTCTAAAACTTCAAAATTACTAATTAATGGAAATCTTCATAGACTCCTTGTTTGTTCTCCTGTATTTCTTATGTGGTCCAAGAGAAATAAAACAAGTTGAGTGATAAAAAACCAGTTATGGGAAATTAGATCACTGGTTGCAAGGTTAGAAATAATGCAGAGAATTCAGAAATCAGGAAGACAGAAATGTCTACAAGTTAGCAGGAAGGGAATAGTCTATGTGTAGCAAGTTTTAGAAAAGATAAATATTCCCTTAATATTTCTATGTAAACATGTTTCATTATAATTACTTTTAACCCTTATTACTGAAAAACCATATAAGTACTGAGGGAATTTCTTATATGTGACTGTCAGACTCCCATGATGTTTACCATTTTTTAATTTAAAAAATAACTCAGGCTTGAATAATAAATAAAACTTTAATAAGTTTTCAAGTTTAAGAAAGGCTCAATTCAATTGAAAAAAATACAACATAATAGCATGATTGTGGAATGTTCACACACAGA